CACAATCTAATTAGTTTTCTTGCTAAATACCTGCATGTCATAACTACTTGAATTACAATTACCATATTGAAATGAAATCTGATGTTTGATGTCTGTTTCATGTTTCCTTCCTATTAAGTTGAAAAGAACTTATGTTACAGAAATAATACAATAAAGAACCCTCATTTTTTTCTGAATACATCTGAACATGAAGAATAAATAAAAACTAATTAGATTGTGCATGGGATGACAGATTGAAAAATAAATATTTCTCAGTTTGAACATGTTAATTGAATGAAATAAATATATGGCAAAGCTGATAGCTTTAAACTGGTAATGTTATGAATAAAATGAGGCAACAAAATCAAGATTCTTTTTCCTTTAATGCTAATATGTTGTTGATTGTACCACTTCCTATTTTATTTTAAGGGCATTTACTAGAGAAAAATCATATAAAATGAAAACTATATTGCGTATATTGTAAATAAAAGAGATCTGAATCACTGGCCAGATTCTCTATTTCAGACACATCATTGGGAATTCTCAATGTTAGTACAGTTTTGTTAGTAGTAGTATTTGCAAACATAAATGTTTTCCAGGAACAACTCACAATTTGCGCATAGTTGAGTCTTCGAAACTGAGCAAATTTGCTCGCAATATCTTGCCAGCGCTTGCTGAGCTGTATTTGGGTTGGTTCCACTGCTTTTGCAGCTCCATCCTTAGACAAGCGATCAGCTTGCCTCTGTACCACATTCAGCTCTTCCATCTTCTTCTCCAGTTCTTGATTAATTTCCTATTGAGCAAAATCAATACAGGGCCCAGGACAATTAGCTAACTAGATCATCAGTTCCTAAGAATTAGCAAAATACTTTTGTAGATGTATTGTTAAAAAAGAAGAAAAAGAAATAATATTATTTTAAAACCTGAGTTAAGATATAAAAAAAAGAAATAGAGAAGAGTTCTGGATTATATAGCTCATTGATTTTAGATATTTCACTGCATATATGCTGGGAATGTGACACCATAGGCCAAAATATTAACTGTTTAATTAACCCTAACACTGTGTAATAACTGGGAAAGATGACCGTAATGCTGGAATTACATACTAAATATCTATAGTGATTGTCGATTAGATGGCTAAAGGTTTTTTTTTTAATTACTATTGGAGAGAACATAACAAAGAATAAAGCAAAAGAAGATGATGAAAAATAAACAAATTTTTGACAACGTATAAGCAAATCTTTAGAATTTTGACCATGATTTATGAATATGTTCTGATGAAAATGAGTGTGCTGCTAAATATGAAAAAGAGTTCAGCCATGTACCGATAAAGTCATTTGTTCATCTGGAATAAAGATAAAAAAGTCAATTATTTTTTTTCTTGGAAAATATTTGTTGATGGCATATTCAACATATATATTCAGCCTAGATACAAAAGGTTTCAACAAACTTCATCTCACTTACTTAAATAACATTAAGTGATGAGCTATGATTATTTATATTAATTACTCTAGCTAGACAACACAGAAACATATTTTGTTTCCAGAAACAAATACAATACTCTGTAGGAAATGATATTACCTTTAGTTTATGTTCATCTATGGGATCTGAGAGGACTGACATTTTTTTTTCTATGTCATCCAGGAACTTCATTAAATCATCTGCCTGCTTCTTATATTGATACCACTGATGTGAAATCTCCAAAGCTTTTTTCCTTCTTTGCGATCTCATATCCTGTTTGCAATACATATGTTTGTTATAAAAAGTAATATTTAAATGGTGGTATGAGTAAATACTGTATGCACTATGGGATAGAGTAAAATTGTGGATAGGTTATTTTTAAAAATTATTGTGAATTATAATAATTATAATTATGAATGTAAATTTATACTTTTAAGTAAACCAAAATATTTTCTTACTTCTCTATACTTGTAAAGAGAAATGTATTATGGAACATACCCTTCACATATTTAAAAAGCTAGAATTGGTAGCCTAAAATTTGAAACAGAAATATTAACAGGCAGATTTATACAACAATGAATTTTCCAAATCCTAGTATTTTATGCAAGAGATACTTATATAAATTTAACTGCAAAATGTTTTTATTTTAAATTATAACCTGCTAATAGATGGAAATCCAAAGAGTACTTTAATGTGCATATATTGCCCTCACTCAAAATTTTTAATTTTAGACATTCCAAAGTTTACTAAAGAGAAAGAAAAGAAAATTTATGTGAAGCAGAGAAACTTTGCTTGTCCTTCTTTAAATGTAACTCTAGGTTTTGAATGACTTTTGAGTATAAAATACCCTGAAACAGAAATTCAGTTTAATTAATTTGCCAATTACAAGTTTAATTATTGACTATGGCTACTTCTGTTATGCATTATATTATACTGTATGCATGCTAATAATTTATTTAATGCACCAATTTAATAAAATTAACATTTTTATTTTATTACCTTTGACACATAGTAAAATATTTCCTAAAACTCCATTTTTAAAATTTGCAGTTTACTTTGCTTTAATTGGATTTACCATATTTTTCGGACTATACGATGCACTGGAGTATAAGACGCACCAAGGTTTTGAAGATGCAAATCTACCCCCCCCTTTTTTTAAAAAAAACAGGGCATGAATAGCTTTTAGGAGGATTGTAGAGTGCTCCGGGGGGCGGGATTAGCAAAAAACAGCCCATTTTTCACGAAAATGTGCCCATTTTTGTCAAAAAAGGGCATGGATAGGAGGCTTATAGAGTGCTCCTGGGGACTGGAGGGGCAAAACTGAGCAAAAATATGGTCAGTATTTTGCTCATTACTGCCCTCCTCAGCCCCCAGAAGCTCTCTGAAAGCCTTCTAAAAGCTATGCATGGCCATTTTGGTGAAGAAGCAGTGTTTCAGGAGGCAAAAAACCCAAACCTATCAATAATTGCAAGAATATTATGCAGCATAAGGTAATGGTTCCGACCGCACATGTGTGCTAGTCATTCCCAACTCCAGCATCCCGAGAAGACTCAAGTCAGTCCAAAAGTGATCCAGAAGATGACCTGCTGGTGAGTGACCCAATCAAACTGCTCACCCTACCCCTAAGATGTTTTATCTCCAGCCGAAGTAGCAGTATTACTGGACTCAGGGTGCACCCGATGCCTAATTAGCCCAACCTTGGCAGGGAGATTGGGAATTCATCTAAGAAAAACTCCCATCACTTTCTGTCAGCTAGATGGCCCAGTAGCAGGAAGGGAACCAGCCATTTTTTGCCACAGAACCATTACAAATAAAACTGAGGGATTATAGTGAGGCCCTCACATTCATAGTAGCACCAAGAATGGAATAGCCACTAGTCCTAGGGTTCACATGGCTATGTAAGTGAAACCCTAAAGTAAACTGGAGGAGTGGAAATGTAAAATTCCAGAGACATGTAACATTCACAAACCTCCCTGAGGGAAGTGAGGTAGAGAAAGGGAACAGGGAAATGGCCATTGCTGGTCACCTTGCTGAGGCCACTAGCATCCCCAAAGAACACCAGGATTTGGCTGAGGTATTTAGTGAAGAGGCATCAGATTGTGCCATTGAGATCTTACTGGGGGCTCAAGTTCCAAAACCAAAGATGTACTGCATGTCCCCAGAGAACTGGAGGAACTCAGAGTGTTTATCGACAAAAATCTAAAAAGAGGTATCATTGAACCTACCCAACCAAAAATAGCATGAAAAGAAAGATGGCTCCTTACACCTTTGTGTCAACTACTGTAACCTCAATGCAATTAGTGTGGGAAACCCCTCATGAAGGACATGCTGGCCCAACACTCTAAAGGAAAAATATTTTCAAAGCTGGATTTATGAGAGGCATACTACCGCATCAGAATTAGGAAAGGGGATGAGTGGATGACTGCTTTTAACACTCTGCTGGGTGTTACCAATTTAAAGTACTCTCTTTTGGATAACAAGGGGCCTCTGCCATGTTTAAAAAAAATGAGAAAAAAAACTTTGACAGTTTCCTTCTATACATTTCCATATCGGTATATATCCATTATATGTGCATTCCCCTCCTCCAATATGTCATTGTCTATACATGTAATTCCAATGTCTTTATACATACAAATATATTCATTTCTTGAGTTACAGTCATTCATTGTATGTTATTTCCATTTATACATATTTATTACTAATTTCTAACTTCTATATCTTCTTCACTTTACATCTGTCCTCTAACCATTTATATCATTCATTCCATACCATATAAATAATCTGTTTTTCCTTTATCCTTGATCTCCTTTGTGAGTCTATCCATCTCTGCACACTCTCTTTCCTTATCACCTCTTCCTCTGATGGAATGATATTATTCTTCCACTTTTGTGCATACATTGTGTTTTTTTTATCATCCTTCCCTGTAAATATTCCCAATAAAAATAATTCCGGTTTCATGTCTATTTGTGGCTTGGTTATTTCTTCAAGCCATTTTCTTAATCTATTCCAATATTGTTTTATTTTTGGGCATGTCCACTACATATGGTAGAATGTTCCCAGATTTTGTCTGCATTTCCAGCAGTTTGGTGATATGTTCAGGTACATTTTGGGCAATCTCGCTGGGGGGGAGGTGCCATCTGTAGAACATTTTATACATATTTTCTTTATAGGCTACTGACATTGTCAATTTATAATTTTAATTCCAAAGTTTCTCCCATTTCTCCAATTCAATATTGTAGCCAAAGTTTTTGGCCCAAGTTATCATATTTTCTTTAACTACCTCCTCCTCCATTCTATAATTCAATAAATAATTGCATATTTTCTTAATCAATTTATCCTCTGTACCTTGTAGAATCTTATCTAATTCTTGTGGTTCTTTCTGGAATCTGTTCTGTTCTATGTCTTTCCTATATCTAGCCTGAATTTGCATGTATGGCCACCAATCGATATCTATGCCCTGCTCTTTTAGTTCTGGTCTTGCTTTCAGTTCCCCCTGATTATTTAGTAAATCTTTGTATCTCTTTATTTTATCTATATGTAATACATTTGGATAAATTAATGCTTCCATGGTTGAAAGCCAATTTGGTATTTTAGTGTAGTGCTTAACCAGAGGTAAGAGGAATAAATGAAGAGGAAGCTGCAGAATGGATAGCAGAACAATGTGACGAGGCGGTTCCTAAGTTTAGAGGTACAACTGGGTTCCTTCCCTTGGGGGGAGGAATAAAATGCCACCATTGCTGTCAACCTGGCCACAAAGCATCAGATTTCTTGGCTTCAGCCCTTGTATCACAAACATGTGCACCAACTGCTAGCGCAGTAAAGAGAAGGCCCTGGAAGCCACCAGAAAAGAGTCATCTGAGTCAACAACCTCAGAAAACTGATCTCCAACCTAAGGTGATGAAAAGTCTAACCAATGGGGAAACCTCCGAGGAAGAGAATAATGTATATGACCCAATGGTGAGTGCACCAGTCCAACCCTTTGCCATCCAAGCCAAACTTCAAGTACCTAAAACGGGGATGGAAGGGGAAGTTGAAGCAGTTGTGGACACTGGCTGCACCCGATGCTTAATCAGCATGTTGATTGTAAAGCAACTAGGCATGCACACAAGACCTCTAGTCCATCTCGTTCAGTTTGAGCAGGCAGATGGGATACTAATTGGGGGAACCGCAGCCATGCTAATGACCGAACTGGAAAAGTTACAAATAGGCTACTACTATGAACTCCTCAGATTTATTGTGGCTCCGAAGATGCTGGCATTAATTATCTTGGGGCTTGCATGGCTGGACAAGTGGATGCCTATGATAAAGTGGGAAGATCCGAGCCGAGGTGGCGCAGTGGTTAGGGTGCAGTACTGCAGGCNTCTCTTCGATCTCTTTAATCAGTCCTGGGGTCATCCATGCCATATCAATTCTAGACCATGAGTTATGTGGGTTTGAATAGAATGTGTATTGGCCCTTTTCCTTGTTTATCTCTCCTAGTGTCCTGTAGGCTCAGTTCTTGCATCATTTCAGAAAATGAGTTTGGCAGCGTTCTCGTCTTTGTCTTATTCTTCTTGTTGCTTTTATAGTCTTTTTTAATATCCATGATAGCATTGAAATCTCAAATTAAACACATGTTTTCATATTCTAATACCATTATTTTATTGTATACTTTTCTATAGAACTCATTTTGGTTGTTGTTTGGTGCATATATTGTGATATATTTGTTTTTGTTCTGTTTTAATCTCAATCATATTAGTCTTTCCTTGATGTATATTCCTATTCCTCTTTTTTTGTGTTAACGATGCATACAATTTCCCTAACTTTGGGTTTTCTAATAATTTACTACACTGCTTCTTAATATGTACTTCCTGCAAATAGACAATATCCATATCCAATATTTATAATTTTGTAAATATTTGAATGCTTTTCACTGGAGAGTTTAATCCATTTATGTTTATGGAGACCATATTAATTTCCTCCTCCAGCTTTTTTCCTTGTGTTCCTTGTCTCTCTCTGTATTTTCCCTCTTGTACCTTCTCTTTCTATTCATTCTTTTTCCTGTTTCCTTTTTCCTTCTTGTTCTGCTTCGTTCTCCTTTTTTATATATATTCCTTGACTCCTACTTTCAGCTTCTTCTCTGCTCTCTTGATCTTCCTCAATTGCAAAGTGGGGTTTGAAGAACTCTGGTGCTTTATCGATAGTATCTATTTTAAATTTTTTCTCCTGCCAGGAAATCAGGATGCCTTCTGCCACCAGCCAATGGAACATCACCTTATATCTAATTAATTGCA